TCTTGTCATATTTTCCTTTTTTAATTTTTTAATCTTATTTTTTATTTATAATTATTTTCGTTTTTTTATATTTTTCTTACTATTTTTTACTTTATTTATTACTTTATTTTCACCTAACTTTATTGCTATCACACAGGAACTAACAGGTCACTGTGTGATAGCATTTGGAGGTGACAGGTAGTCTTTATTGACCCTGTCACCTCCAATACAGGAGTTCTAGCACAGCACTGTGCTGGAAACTCCTGTGAGAGCTGAGAGGGGAAGAGCACAGCTATCCCATCTCACTGTATACACGGAGCGGCAGGGTTACTTTTAACAGTGCCGCTCTGCTCTGCTCTCCGCTCTCCATACTGAAGACGGCGGCGGCGAGGACAGAGCCGGGAGGACGCAGCATGGAGGGGGTAAGAGGAGGGGAGGGAGGGGGGCAGCGGGACCGGCAGTCTAATTACAAGTGATCTCGGCGACATCACTGAGATTACGTGTAAAGAAACAGGTGAATTCTCCTATTCTACATTTCGCTCTGCTTGTGCAAAGCAGAGCTAAATGTAGAAAACAAATTACCGCCCGGCGCCCGGAACTCCATGTTCGTCGGATGTGCCGCCCCTCTGCTCAGTGCCGCCCCGAGGCCGGGCCTCGGTGGCCTTGCCGGGAATCCGGCCCTGCAGTCAGCATGACTAGACTATAGCCTTGCATTTTTTGGGGACAGATAGAGCTTTCTTTTGGTGGTATATAAAATCACCACTGGGGGGGGGATTATTTTTTTACTATACAATGAAAAAAGTACCGTAAATGTAAAAAAAAAAAACCCCAAAGTTTCCCTATGTTATGTTATAAAACATCTATTCTTACCCATATTTTTGGTAAAATATAAAAGATGGGGTCACGTCGGGTAAATAGACACCAAACATGTCAAGCCTTAAAATTGCGTGCGCCCGCAAAATCGCAAAAAACAACCACACTAAAAATTGGCCTTAGGCGATGCTTAAAACGCTTTTACCACTCATCAGTTTAGTGTTATCAGTAATTAATAGCCCTAAAATGATTGCTCTCACTCCGACGTTCGCGGTTATATGTAACATGTGCGGCACAATAGGTGCAATAGTTGTTTTCGCACGTAGGCGCACCCGACGCATATCTGCATGTGTATGTGGGGCGTGGCGGA